CACTCCATGTGTGCTCCTTCACCGAGCTGGTAAAGCTCTATCTGAGCGACAACCACCTCCAGAGCCTGCCTCCAGACCTGGCGCAGCTGCAGAACCTGCAGATCCTGGCCTTGGATTTCAACAACTTCAAAGCCCTTCCCCGGGTGGTGTGCACCTTGAAACAGCTCTGCATCCTCTACCTGGGCAACAACAAACTCTGTGACCTTCCGGATGAGCTCAGCCTGCTCCAGAACCTCCGTACCCTGTGGCTGGAGGACAACTGTCTCACCCAGCTGCCAGATGTGGTGTGTGAGCTGAGCCTCCTTAGGACCCTGCATGCGGGGTCCAACGCCCTAAGGCTGCTGCCCAGCCAGCTCCAGCGCCTACGGGAGCTCAGGACCATCTGGCTCTCAGGCAACCAGCTCGCTGACTTCCCCCCTGTGCTGCTTCGCATGCCCTTCCTGGAGGTGATCGACGTGGACCGGAACAGTATCCGATACTTCCCCAGCCTGGCCCACTTGACTAATCTGAAACTGGTCATCTATGACCACAATCCTTGCAGAAATGCTCCCAAGGTGGGCAAAGGGGTGCGCCGTGTTGGGAGATGGGCAGATGAGACGCCAGAGCCTCAGCTCAGAAAAGCTAGGCGATATGCACTGGCCCAGGAAGAAAGTCAAGAGCCCCCCGCTCCCCTTCTTCCTCCCAGCTCCTGAACAGCCTCAGTTGTAAGCCAGTTAACGATGGCCCAACTGAAGACTTTTCATTAGAGTGGAAAGAGTCCCGGATCATCTCTGTAAAGGAATACTGAGAAGAAAACATTTCCGGTCCGCTGTACTTCTTCCTAGGGGAAGGTGTGGCCTGGAAGCCAGTGATTGCCACTCCTGAAGCAGCTTCTTCAAATAACCTACTTTGAAACACTGAAGAGGAAGAAGGGCCAGGGCCTTGGGCCTCTTCCACTATGCAGAAATGGCTGGCCGTGAGGTTGGTGAGTGCTTCAAGCGTGGTATTTGTTAAAATAAAGAAAACAAAAACTATCAGAGTGCTCAGGTGGTGTCTTTAGCCCCTCCCACATACCTATTTCTTTACCATGAATAGTATCAATGTACTGTTACTAATTTAACTCCTGAAAAGAACACCTCCACCTCATGAGTCTTGATTCAAAGAAAGCCGTTGTTACAAAGACCTCACTTTTCCAGCACCTACTGGAAAGACAACAAAGCCTGAGGCCTCTCCCATCTTGGCCCTTTCCACTCATTTCCTCTATAAGGTCTGACCTAAGGTCTGCTCAGTTTACTGTCATCTGGAAAGTCAAGCCTTTCTTCCCAGTGCAGCCGTGTGATTCCAGCAGAGTCCAGGCTGTCCTCGGGAGCAAAGCCATGCATCCAGAGTCATACTATGTCAAGGTAGAATGTAAAAGTCCAACTGAAACAAGCACTTGAAGTTTGACTTGGAGAAGGTCAATTCAAAGTCTCTTATGTGTACACGTTCTAGCCTTCGATCACAATTTGTTTGGGTTTTTGTTCATAGGGTCCTTTGACAGTCTACAAACCTAGGTATTCGGGGCATTATTTATGGAAGTATGTAAATTGAGACTTTATTACAAATACATAAACTCTAAACGGCTGTCCATGGATGATCTAATAACCTTTCCAAAACACAGGACACAAATTGCCATCCTACCTGGACAAACCATATATATTGAACTTCTAGAGCTATGGGAGGATATGACCTTTCACAAGCACGGTTCTGAAAGGACAGAATCCTTCTAGCCACGCTGCTGGTTAAATCAGAGGTCCCTGTCACCACCTCTCCATGCAGTACACCTGCAGCCCAGTGATCAGACCACCAGATGCCTTTAATCATGTGCATTTATACTTGTTTTCTATAGTCTTGTTCAGGGTGATTGAAGCCACATACTCAGCTGATGCTAAACAAAATTTGCAAACAAGAATTTGCCTTCCAAGCCTCTGCTATAGCACTTTACAGATTGCTTTCTGACCAGCGTTTGCTCTGGAAACGGATAGGCCTATTTCTCCAGCGTAAGCTGCAGGGTTGAGTTGAAGCTAACCGACCTGAAGTCTCAGTAACTGTACTGCATCCAATGTTAAATTACCAACATTTGGACTGCAGCCAAATGGTTTTCTTCTAAATCAGGAAGCTTGCAACAAGCATAAGTTTGTCCATTATGGCAGATTTTGCTGCCTACAAATGTTTGTACTGTAGGTTTTCCATCACTTTTATATGGTAGTTACATTTCTTTGAACTCTTCTGAGGGTCCAAGAGATGCTAAGAGCAGCAAAATCAGGAAGAATGGCTACAGCACCAAATATTAACTATTTAACCCCTGGATTTTGAGGTCAGGACACCCCAAGGCCTGGGGAAATCTCTTACAGACCATCCCCTAAACAGGGGTGAAGCTAGACTAGGGCTTAACGAGCTTACTGGCTTGTCCTCACTCTTCCAGAACTTGTGGTACCAACTGCGCTGGCTAGTTTCCTGTCCACGTGACACAAGCCAGTCATCTGGGAAGAGGGAACCTTCAGCGTAGAAAATGCCCCACCAAATCAGCATGTAGCAAGCTTAAGGGGCATTTTCTTGATTCATGGTTGATGTGGGAGGACCCAGCTCACTGGGGAAGGTGCCACCGTGGGCTGGCAGTCCTGGGTAGTCATAAGAAAGCCAGTCCGGAGTGCTCCTCCACAGCTTCTGCCTCAGCACAAATTAATAAAAGCAGGAATTTAAGCTGTTTGCCTTGTCTGTGCTAGGAACTTTAAAGTTCTATAGTAACTGTGATCTACAGAAGTTCCCACTTCTTGGTGTAAAATGCACCGATTGGAATTTAGGAAGATAATGGTAAAGCTGTATTCACCATGGATGGGCGCGCTGGCGGGTTTAACAAGAGTATGACTGAAGAGAATAAAGAACAAAAGGCTGCAGGAATCCAGACACCACCACCAGCAGCAGCAGGGTGTTTGGAATCCATCAGCTGAGGTCACAGGAAAGGGAAGTATTGCTCAAATCCATTAGAATAGCCATGGAAGAAGCAAGGCACATATACAGAAAATGGCCAGTGGTTAAGGGGACCGAGTTTGGTTCCCAGCACCCAAGTCAACCACCTGTGACTTCAGTTTTAGGGGGACCCAACTCCTCTGGCCTCCATGGGCTCCTGCACCCAAGTACACACAGGACCACCCACAATTAAAAATAGACCTTAAAAAGAAATTAAGAGGGGCTGGAGAGATGGTTCAGTGGTTAAGAGCACTGGCCATCCTGACTGCTCTTCCAAAGGACCCAGGTTCAATTCCCAGCATCTACACAGCAATTCACAACTGTTAACTCCAGTTCCAGGGGATGTGGCATCCTCACACAGATACACATACAGGCAAAACCCCAACGTACCAAAACAAAACAAAACAAAGCTTAGAAACACATCTCGCAGAGCTGAAGATGCTGGATGCCTGGGAAGAGAACAGATTTCTCTCCCCACAGCCTGCTGGCACCTGTGTGAAACCATTAGCAGTTCAGCCCTCATGGAATTGAGTCAACCACACAAGGCAAGTCAGTGTGGTCTTATTGGGTTCTAAACTTTTACCATTTTCTATGCAGTGATATTAATCATTAACAACTCTTTGATGTGCCTATTTATTTATTTGGGGCTGGGCACCACTCACCCATGGAGGCCAGAGGACTTGGTCCTCTCCTTCTGCCATGTGGGCTCCAGGAATTAAACTGAGGTCCTTCAGTGTGACAGCAAGCACCTTTGCTCACTGAACCATCCTGTCAGCCCCTAACAGACTCCAGGTATTAACATACAGACACGGGAGCTGGAGATGACTAAGTGACCAACGGCTCTTGCAGAGAACCCAGGTTCAGTTCCAGCACCCACAGTGCTTGACAACCACTTAGCAGTTTCAGCGAATCTCATGCCCTCTTCTGAACTCCTGAAGCATCAGACATACAAGTGACACACACATACACAAGCAACGTTCACGCATATAACCCCCGCCTCCAAAACAGGTACTTTCTGTGTATCTATATGCACAGGCTGACACCAGAGGCCTTCCTCTAGGACGCTCCACTCCACATGGGGAAGGGTCTCTGACTGAATGTGAAGCCCACCTATGGAACAGGCTACCTATGACCAGCTAACCCCAGGGACCCTGCAGATTCTCAGGTCCTAATGCTCGTGTGACAAGCACTTTACTGACTGCACAACTTCTAGCCCTCTGGTACCAACTCTGAAAGCCCTATCTTCTCTATGAGGCAATTCTGGGGCTGCCAGAGATAGCCAGTTAAGTTTCTTCCTTTTTAGCTTTTTTAAAAAAAGTTTTATTTATGTATGAGTGCTATCTGCATGTATGCTTTTGTGGTGGAAGAGGGCATCAGACGTCACTGCAGATGGCTGTGGACCACCATGCAGTTGCTGGGAATTAAACCCAGGTCCTCTGGAAGCGCAGCCAGTCCTCTTAATTGCTGAGCCATCTCTCCAGCCCTGCTTCTGAGCTTTCTTAAATTCTGTGGATGCTGCAATATATTAACTTATCTGTAAGTCAACCTTAAATTAAACTCAGTACATATCTATGCTTATTTCCTTTCTCTATCAAAACAAAAACCCTAACAAAACAACCATAATTAAGTATAACTGAACCCATTATCTAAGAGAATGTTATCCTATTAAAGTATCAGAGAGGTGGACAGTTAAATATGACTTTTTCAAACTTGAACAGAAACTGAAATGTAAGTAAGAAAGGGTCCTTACATAGAATTAAATCGGTACTATACCTTATGGCACTTCCACTCCAAATTAATATGCAGTAAAAGCTATACATGACTGCGTATATACATGGCCCCCTCCACAAAGCCAAAAGACTAATGTATCCATGTTTAAATCTAACAAATCAAAATAATTACTTCAAAAAAGAATAGGTCAATAATTGATTAAGCTGAAACAGCTCCACACTGAAATACAGTCATTTCTTTTAAGTAGATTTCCAGCAGAATATATACAGATCTGTAAGACATTAAGAGTTAATAACTGGATTTTTATTTTAATACACAGTATGAGAAATGAACTTGTAAGTCAACTGAATTGTATGCAAAATGAAATAGCAAATAAATTAGACCCATGTTTAAACAAAAGGTCAGCTAAATATTCAAACTATCATGGATACATCAATTCCACAGTCTTCTTTAAAAGGTTGAGTCTTTCAAATACAATTCTGCTACGGACTGGTCCAGAGATCAACAGCCAATGGGAATGCTTAGCAGGGGTGGTGATCAGGGACACGTTTCCTATAAGGAAAACAATCATACAAATAAGAAAAGTAAAGAATGAAAAGTATGATTTTAACTAGTTTTCCACTGACTACAAACAGAGCTAGAACCTTTGTTTACTAAAATCTTTGTAGCTCCATTTCCCACAGGGACTTGACCTCCAACTTAATAAGCATTCACTCTCCAAAAAGGATTAATCTAGTTTTTGCTTTTCTTTTCTTTTCTTTTCTTGTAATAGCTCTGACTGTCCTCGAACTTGCTATGTAGACCAGGCTGGCCTTGAACTGACAGAGATCCACCGGTCTCTGCCTCCTGAGTGTTAGGATTAAAAGCGTGCAATGCCACCACCACCTGCCATTTTTCCCCCCTGAAGACCAGATCTCGCTGTATATCCTAAGACTAGACTTAGGCAATCCTCCTGCCTCAGTCTCCCCAATAATATACTATCACTTGGCTTTATTCATGTTTTTGAGTAATCTACGTACTAAGAAAGTTTACCAAATTAGCCAGACAGCATTAAACAAAGCCACAGAATGAAAACACACAGGGCTTCTAGATGACAACCTACTCAGGAGCACAACTGCCAATAGAAAAGCTAGAGACTGGGTAGACTGTGACTTGGTATGCCAATAATCATGGCTTCTATCTCGAATTCTCTGGCAACCATACAGTGACTGGCGCTATAAGAACCTTTTGCAAAGAGATAGCAGGAATATCAGTGAACTCTTTAACGTCATATCTGTTCGTAAAAAAATTTTAACAAAGTATATGCATCTATATATATGTATATGTATGTGTACACACAATGCATTTCAAAATTTTATAATGGGGAAATACAGTGAGTATTTTAAAATCCCTGGTATGTCAGATTCAGGGACAGTAAACCAGCATCTCCAGGAATTCTCACAAATTTCAAAATTAGAAAATTTAAACATAATTCTAAAAATCTTCCACTGGAGCTGGAGAAATGGCTCAGTGGTTAAGAGCCTGTTCTTCCAAAGGTCCTGAGTTCAATTCCCAGCAACCACATGGTGGCTCACAACCATCCGTAAGGAGATCTGGTGCCCTCTTCTGGCCTGCAGGTGTACATGCAGACAGGATACTGACAATACTGTATACATAATAAATAAATAAATCTTTAAAAAAAAAATAAAATAAAAATCTTCCATTTAGCTATTTGGATGTTACAGGCACCCACACTTCCTCTTTGCTTTCACACGAACCCTCAAAACCACAATCGACTCCATTTCCCCTTGACTTTTCTAAACTTACTACAGAATGAATTTGATCTCTGCCACTCCACTAACACCTTGTGTCAAAACTAATGATGCTGAAGTCCATTTTTTTAAGGGATTCACTTATGTGCATGTACACCTTTATGCCAGAAGAGGGCACCAGATCCCATTAGAATTAAACTCAGGACCTCTCTCTGGAAGAACAGCCAATGCTCTAAACTGCTGAGCAGATCGTCTCTCCAACCCCGAAGTCCAGTTTTTAAAGAGTTACTGTTCTTTGACCTATTGTCATCTTGGCAGGTTGTTCTTCTTCCTAAGTATTCCTTTCACCTGGCATCTTGGGTACATGCTTACTTGGCATTCCTCTCCTCCCACCCAAGAGCAACAGAACCAGTTAAGTATGAACTGAAACTTCTAAATTTGTGAACCCAAATAAATCCTTCATACCTTCCATCAGACTTTTTGACAGAGCAATGCAAAACAGACAGATGCACTTCATGTGAAAGTTTCTAAAGTATGGCCCTGTAAAGGAGCCCTGCACAGTGGGTGTTTGAGAATGCCTGTGTGAGCCATGTGGGGGCAACCACCTATAATCTCAGCACGTGAAGCTCAGGGAAGCGCATTCTAAATCCAAATCCAGCCCAGGTTACACAGCAGGACCACCTCTAAAACCAGAACCATCCACATGCATCTACACGGAAGTGCATCCAGAAAGGCAAGCAACATGACCTCACCCTGGTAAAAGGACACCAGGCAACCACAGCTCCCTGATACCTTCACAAGCCTGGCTGCTCTGTGACTTCCAATCCCCTTGTGTCCCTGGCTGTCCATGTCTAGTTCCTGTGATCCCATATTTTAGATAATTTGCACAATACTTTACTAAAAATTGACAGTTCCTTTAAATGTGGTTATCAAGTAAATAATGCTCCTTGTTTTTGTCTCACACAAGCTTTCCTAAGGATGCCAAGGGCTCTTGTACCTTGGTGCTGCTTTGATGATGTTGTCCACACGAAGAATCACCTCTGCTGCTTCAGCTGCACTCAAAAGAACCTGTCGCTTCACTTGGAAGCTCTCTGTTATACCCAGTACTGCCATGTCTCCAATGGTACCTTCCTTCATATCTGAAAAAATATTATAGTAACTGTTTAACAAATAAGGTATTAAATCGTCTCTAATAACTTGTAATAAAACTAAGCCTGTTACTGTACCCAACTACCTGGCATAGTTAGCAGATATAAAAGCATTCAAAGAAAACCCCAAAAATGTGTGTGTGGTTTTTTTTAATTGTAGGGGCTGGATCAAATTACTCAGTGGTTAAGAGCAATTGCTGTTCTTGAAAACGGCCTGAATTCAGTTCCCATCACCCATGTTGGGCAGCTCCCAACCTCTTCTGTTCTCTCAGGGTGCATGTATATACACTCCCGTAACACACACACCACACCTAACATTTTTTAATTGGGCTAAGGATATGATTCAGTAGATGAATGTTTGCACACTGAAAAACTAAGGATCTGAGTTTGACTCCCCAACATGCACACAGAACATCTGGGCACAGCTACCAGGTGCCTCTAAAACCAGGACTGGGAGGAAAGGGGGGAAGAGATGCAATGTTGTCTTCCTGACCATTCAGTCTAGCAAAACAGAAAACTTCAGTGAGACCCTGACTCAAGGTGGAAAGCAACAGAGGTAGGTATCCTATACATCCTCTTCTAATGTGCCCATGGGTACATATGTATTTAAAACACATACACACAAATACCCAACACTGGGGGTGCAGGAAGTCAATACTAATGATCTATATTAACAGAGGGCAATGATATCAAACAAAAACTTTTACAGGGACAGGTAGCAAAGTGGCTTAATAGGTAATGGTCCTGCATTATCACCGAGTTTGATCCTCAGGACCGAGAGCCAACTTCTTCAAGTTGTCCTGACCTCTGTATCTAGTACTGTGGAATGTGAACAGTTGTGTCCACACACCCTTTAATCCCAGCACATGGGAGGCAGGTGGAACTGAGCTCAATACTGGCCTGGTCTACACAACAAGGTCCAGCTAGAGAAGGCAACACAGTGAAACCATGACTCAACAGGAGGAACAGGAGAGATGGCTCTGCCGTTAAGAACACTAACTGCTCTTCCAAAGGAGCCTGGTTTGATTCCCAGCACCCACGTTAAGGTTCACAACAGTCTCTAGCTGCAGGGTATCTCATGCCTTTTGGCTTCCAAGGGCTTCTACAGGCACCAGGCCCACATGTGTTAGCTTGTTAACTACTTTATTTATATACTAGAGGTTTACATTCAAAACTGCGCCGGATCGTTATGAAGTTAGAAACTAACGCTGTGTTCTAAGAGTTTACACTTAAGAATATAAGCTCTACTCACATATCCTAATACCAAACTCTTAATCTTACAGCAATGTCATGAATACAAAATTAAAACATTAATTATAAAAATTAGCATTGCCACCTTTGATACAGTTAGCGTTAAGAACTGTAAAAACACAGAAACACAGACAAAAACAAGAAAAGAAAAAATCCTATTGAATGAATGAGAGAACTGACTACTGCTGCCTTGCTGAACAAACATTATGTCCAATTGCCTTCTACACATTTGTTTGTATGTACGGATTAGTGCCGCCTGCAGCCTTACTCAGAAAAGCTTCGGTGTGCCGTGGATGCCAGTTAGCACAGAGACTCACAACTGTTGAAGGTACAGAAAACGATGCCTGCCGAGTGCTTGGCCTGAACTGACCATGCAGGTCTGAGCACCACAGAACAGGGTAGACCGTGTAAGAGTCACGGGTAATGAGGAGTGCTGTGACACAGCCAGTGCGCCTGTGATGGCACAGCAACCGCAGCCATCCACACAACTCCATCCCTATAGGCTGTTAACGGCTGCCGGAGAAGGATAAGTTATATTCTTCAGGGTAGTCTCCAATAAGGTGCCTTTATGCAAGTAAATAACCCTCCACCCACATAAGCGGGGAAAGGGCTTTGGAAACATGGGTTCAGTGGAAGAGTTAAGGTGTTAAGAGAACAAAGGGAAGGGGAATATGACCAAGTGCATTACATATGTATGGTTTGGGTGTATAAACATTTTCTTTAATTGAAGAAAATTACTTTTAACAGTGATTACAAAAGTCTACTCGACTTCTTACCCAGCCCAGCAGTTGTTCGGCCTTCACTGTGAGCAGCTCGGAGCTGTGCCACCAGATCTGCACTGTCGTAGCCTGCATTGTCAGCTATGATGGTTGGAAGCTACAATATAACAATGAAAAATAACCACCAAGGACTAGTCATTGTCTGGATGAATACACCATAACTGGCTATCTCTTTCTTAATAACTGTTCATAATCGAGCATAAAATGTACAATCAAAATATACAACACTGTGAATGACCAGTTTTGCAAAAAGCAAGGAAAATGTCATCTTTTTGTCTAGGGCAGAATATATACTCAGTTTAAAATAATCAACTCCATGAAAATTATGTTTAGATCCCTTTTCATAGTTACCATTCTCAAGGCTTTAGCAAAAGACTCCATTGCTACAGCTTCTTTTCCTGGTGTTTTACTGGCAAGTTTTGCCACAGCATGAGCCATCACCATCTCAGAACAACCTATAAATTAAAATCCAAAAACTACGATTATGTCATCTGTTATCTCCAGAACTATGAATTACTGACTTCCCTAAGATCTGTCATTTTAAAATCAAAGGCTAACATGATTGGTTTCTATAAGAGCCAATACATCCATTTGTAAGTCACATTACACATCAAGGAACCAAACGCTCACCTCCTCCATACACTGTCCTAGGATCTTTCACAGTTTGGGCAAGAACACAAAGGGCATCATGCAAAGACCTCTCCGCTTCATCCAAAATTTGCTGAGTGGCACCACGAAGTACAATGGTACAAGCCTCACCTAACATTAAATATAACATTCAGAAGTCAGTTACCACCTAGTCACAGACCACATAACCATTTGCATTCCATTACTTATGTAAGTGATGACTATGATTGGGTTTTGGTAGCTGATGTCTTCCACCATGCAAGGCTTTCTCTGCCAAAATCCATGTTCATAAGAGTCCTAAGTTACCAAAAAAAATCTACTAAATGTACACATTTCAAAAAGGCACAGCAAGTATCAACTTAAGACTTTGAGACACTGGAACAAAACATAAAATAGGCCCTCTCGAAATTTATTTTATATTTGTCCTTATAACATATATGTATCTCAATTATTAATCTTTGTATGTATGTGTGGGAGGTGCATGTGTGCATGGTACTCAGGTGGGAATTGGTTCTCTCCTTCTACCATGTGGGTTCCAGGGAAGGAATGAGGTCATCACACACCTTCACCCACAGCCATCTCACCAGCCTATAGAAGGCATTTTAGTACCACAGTGACCTTTCTTTTGCTTCAAGATGCCAAAATTTACAGTCAGTCAACTCACCAAGGGCAACCCCAGAAAAGTGGATGAGTTTGTCTTCTCCAATCATGACTTCTTCAATTAGTTTGCAGCTTCCAAGCTTCACCAGCTCTGGGTGATCAAAGGTGGATGCAATCTCACCACCTATGAAAAGAAACACATTACAGGGCATGGTGTTCACTTTAATTCCAGCACCAGGAAGGCAGAAGCAGGCGGATCTCTGAGAGTCTGAGGCTGTTACTGGACTGATTCACCTATTTAAACATTTTTACCATTCAGAAAGTTAAAAACTCAGAAAAGCTATGTTTAAATTAAAGCACAAGGCACATACTTCCCTCAGCCTGAAAGGCACGAAGTCTTCAGTAACGGTCACTGTAACTTTACCTCACACGGGGCAGAGTTCAAATATTCAGCAAAACAGACAGACTAGTTAAGACTCAAGACACCTCTTTTAAGTATGAATTTGTTTAGAATATTCCTAGAAAGTGAAGTCTTTATATTTGTGAGAAAGAACTAGTCTTGAAACACCACAACAAAAAGAACTCTCTAACCATGGCTGGCACATATATAAATTAGTACACACCTTAAACATTCGTAAACTGAAACATAAATGTGCAACTTTTTAAAAATGAAAATGACAGAAGTAGAAAATCCTGAGTCAATGCAATGGACCAGTGAAAATGCAAGTCGGCCAAAACTACTGTCTAAAATATCTTCACTGTTTATGAGGCATTCGTATCTAATAAAAATGAATTCCATGTTTAGACTTGGGTCTTATTCCAAGTTATCTCACTATGCATGATCAAATATTTCATTCACATCCCCAAAAATCCAGAATCTGAGAAGCTTTTGAGTACCAAGCATTTCTAAGAGAAAACTACCTACAGTTATAATAATGGGACCAGCCAGCAAGATAGTAGGTAAAGGCACTTGCCATTAAGATTCACATGGTTAAGAGGGGAGAGTCAGCTCTATAAAGTTGTCATCTGATCTCCACATGCAAGCAAAGGCAGCACAATTCTTCAAACAAATATAACTAAATTAAAGGTATAATTCAGAGTGTGTGTGGGTTTATAGATTTCCCTCCCCTTTAGTATATAGTCTTATTCTTTAAGAGGTTTCTTATTCTCAACAATGCATTGCACAGTAATACTCAATAAATACAAGAATGGTAATTATACTTACTAGAAACTAACATCTTTTTCCTTACCTGTGACAAGAGCTAGGCGTTCCACACCTGCAAAATCTGCATGCTCAATAGCCATGACACCAGCAGCACCAAAGAGTTGTTCAGGGTAATTATAAATTAGCTGTCTGCAGATGAAATACACAAGAACATTCTGCTCAAACTTCACCAGAAGTTAAAAACACAAAACGATGATCTATGCTCAATACTTGGGTCTCAAGTGATGGGAGAGAACACTCTCCCACAAGTTGTCCTCTGACCACACAGCATAAGCAAAGAGAAATTAAAAACGAAAACAACCCAAAATTAGTCATCTACAGCAAGGAAATGCTAAAATAATCTTCAATAAAATTATTTCTACCTAAGAGTCTTCCCTTAAGAGATTCGTTTATCAGGTTCCAGCTAAAGTCAACTGAAATCAGAAATTCCAAATATTTTACAATTTACATCATTCCCTATCCTGAGTATCCGGAAGAAATCTGACATTGCTCTACTCTGTCCCACAAGTGTACGACTCACCAGCCCTGTCTCATGAACCCACAACGGTATGTTCTTCTGCCAGCTAGTCACTCAGTGACCCTCTACATTAGAAGATGGATGCTACCGCACTGCGAGTATTCAACACTACCATAACCTTATATTAAATGACAATACCCAATCAAATCAGCCTCACTTCATCCACATCAAGCACTGAATCCTTTTATCATCACATGAAAATTGAGTACAGTACAATAAAATACTGAGACCAGCAGGAGGGACTGAGGAGTGGCGGGAGGAGGCAGCTACAGGATGAAAGGAAAGCTGTTCAACCTTAGGCTGTGGTTTGCTCTGACAGCATAAGCTTTCTCAGAACAGGTTTCCTCAGTGACTCTGACTTCCTGTACACTATGTGTTCACCGGGCTGCTGCTACAGAGTCCTTGACAGTCTAGGATCTAATTGGTGCTGGGCAATGTCATCTAAACCTTGCCATTAGTCTCAGATTTTCTTAGCCTGCTGACTGCTCTAATTTTCTACTCATGGTCATTTACACAGTTTTTATAAACAATGTGATTCAAACA